ACGACCCTTTTAAACAACTCATTCTAGTTCAATCTTTAACATGCTGATCTGCAATGTTTAGCATGCTGGAGAATCCAGTCCTTTAGAAATGGCCTGAATGTTTTCCTTTTGAAAATAATTACCAGAATATCTAGAAATGGTCTTTTAAGCCTTCCCAGATTAATGAGGAGCAACAATTCCTGAAAAGGAAGATGGGTTTCTTCCATGAGCTTCAAAAGGAAAAATCTGCTTTAAGTTTTCCTTATGACTAAAAATGATTTTCTGTATGGCTGTAGGAGTTCAAAGATGGTTCCTGTCAAGATCTTCCTAAAAACTAAACACATACCTGATGTTGGGAAGATGCTGTGCTTTGTAAGACATGTTATTTTGCCGTACTGTGGCAGCTCAAACTGCTTCCCATGAGGCATAAAACCTCGGGCTAACTGGAACTGAAAAGTCTTAGTATTGACCAACAACTCCAAATGGACTTGTTGGTTCGTTTTGGTTCTGATCAGGCCCACTTTGGGACCGCCACATTAGCTTCAAGCTGCCACCAGATTAAGAAGAGAGAACATTTTGTGTGTGTGTGTGTGTTTCTTTTTTTTATCCTCTTTAAGAAGATTACCCAGGGAGGGGTGAGACGGCAGTCAGGGTGTTGGTGAGAAGACGAGAGGAGAATGGAAGATGAAGCGGAACTAAAGGAGGGCGGCCCTGGATGCACAGCCAGCCACCTGTTGTCACTTGTCTCCTTCTACTGTCTCTGCTTTCGAACACAGTGCAGAGTGGTGGTTTAAAATATCCAGCAAAAAGGAAAAAAAAGAGAAAGAGTGAAGTGTTGAGTCATGAGTAAAGCCTCCACTTCATTAGCATGTGTGTGAGCAGCTGTGAGGCTGACGGTGCTTCTCTCTCCTCTGAGTTTCCTGCTGGCGGTTTCCAGGAGAGCTCTGATGTGTATCTGAGCAATGCGCTATTAGAGGGATTTCCCCGGGCCTGACAGCTCAGAGAATATGCTGTGAAATGGCAATGCTGCCGGGCTAAAAGAATGCTGGAAACAGGATTAGGATCATATTCTGGCAGACCCTGTCACTTCCTCAATGGGCTGAGGTTTCCAACGCTGGCACTTTTCCATTCTCGCTCTGGTTAAAACCTTTAAGAGAACCATGGAGAGGAGGGAGGAAAAGCACTGATTGAATGGTACACTGTGATTTTTGTGTGGAGCTCTTGATCCGAAAGATGTGTGTGAGTGTGTGTGTGTCTGAGTATTTGAGGAAGAGAAAGTCAAATGCAGCAAGAACACGGCAACCTGTTGGTCATGTGCAAAACACTCTAGCTTACTGCTCACTCTGCTGCGCAAAAATATATGTTCATACTTTGCTTTGTGCAAGTACGAAAGAGTTTAACTGCCAGAACATGGAAATAAATTCAGGCGCAGCGCCTCTTTTAAACGAGAAAGGTTTATTTTTATGATATGCAAAAGCCCTAGAAATGAAATAAAAATGAAAAACCTCATAACGAGATTTATATCTCATTAAAACCAAAATATTTTCTCTTTTATTTTTCTCATTTTAACCAAATAAACTCAACTTGCTGAACATTTCACATTAAGATGAGAAAGATTTTTGTTATAACAAGACATAAAACTTGTCTTAGCGAGGTTTGCATCTCAGCTTTTCTCAATTTAATGAGAAACTCTCATTTTCATGAGAAAACGATTCATTTTTAAGCTTTAGAGTTGAACACTCCCATACAAAATTATTCACAATCCTGAAAGATTTTTCACATGTTGTGAAGTCACAAAAACAAACCTTATTGTGTTTTATTTATATTTAATGTAATGAATTCACAAAGTAGTGCTATCATTTGGCCTGATAACTTTACAAGATTTTTGCAAAAATTTTGCAGCCAATTGCATTCAGAACTTCTCCAACGTACCTGAATGAAATGACTGAATAACCTCATCAGCTTGTTACCATCTGGTCTGGTAATGATGCATTCATTAGACTCAGGTGAGCTGCAGTAGGGATGCATCTATCAGTGGGAGGAAACTGAAAACTGAACCTTGAGACTGGGATAGATGTTTGCTTTCCATCAGGATCAAACCATCCATCCAGAGCTACACTGGAGCTTTAGGGAAAGCCATGTGTGCGAATGGCACAGTCAAAGTCCAGACAGACTTAAATAAAATATGTTTCGTCAGAAGAATTTAACAGCAGGTTCAGAAATCCATTTCCATACTTTTGGACCAAAGAAGAAAAGGTACAAGAAAACAAGTGAGTCAAGATACGTGAAGCTGGTAAATGGACACTTTAGAAAACTAGTTTTTTAAACTGTTTCTACAAAGTACTGATGTTAGAAGGTTGAATGTTTTATAGATTTTTATTAGGAAACCATTTGACACATTAAAATTTAAACTGGCAATCCAACCATATGCAACAAAAAAATAGTTCAGTGGGTAGTAAATATTTTTGCAATACAGTTGCTGTATTTCTATTGATCATATAGTTGCACAATTTGACAGTTCGAAAATAAATTTGCTTGATGAAAGCTCAGCAATTTCAGAAAAAAATCCCAATGAAAAGGTTTTGGCGATGGGTTGAGGGTTTATGGTCAAATTTAAATTGGTTCATTTTGTAAAACTGCAATGGAAACACTTTGTTTTCACATCACGTGAGTCACATGATGCACTGGAACCGGACGTTCCAGTGCAAACCACAAAGAAGAAGACAGGAAGTAGTTTCAGACTGATGCTTTTTAATGACTTATTGCATGAAAAAACTTATTTGCAAGGAATTTTTATTGTGTTTCTTATTACATGGAAACACCACTTTGCAAAATTTGTCATTAACAGAATATTAACAAAATTTTGCACATATTTGTAATGGAAACACATCCACTGTAATGCTCTTGTCTTTCTAGGTTTTACCAGCATGCGAACCAGTTCATGTTCTCTCCTCGTATTTTTTCTGTCCAGTATTTAGTGTCCACTGGATCAAAGTAGATGGAGATGCATGCTCTTCTGTACAAACTACACGCTGGAGATGATGGAGGTTCATTCAGAGGCCTGAGTATTAGAGACTGAAGCACCTGATCCAGCAGTGAGGCTCAACACACTTGACCCTGCAGCAATACAATCAAGCAATCCCTGTTCACCCCCTGGGGTGTGTGTGTGTATGTGGGTGTGTGTGCGCGTGTGTGTGTGTTTGGGGGATGGGTGTTGAGAATAGAGGGAACATTGTTATGTTCTCTGCTCCGGACCCCCATGGGAGAAAATCCTGCCATGTATCTGAACAGATTCCTCCTCTGGATAACAAGGACACACGCTTCAGATATATATCAACACTGCGGTCCTATCAGTCACACAATCCGGACGCCCTTGGCTGAGGACACACACACACACACCCGCACACCTGCTTGTGGTGTAATAAAACACAACAAGGTGAGGGTGAGATGTTACACCAATGTTAATGCTGCTAATCTGGTGAGATCATTATCCTCTTCTATCCGATCTTTTTGGGAAGGACTCGTTCATAACCGTCACCAGACGTAACCCAGCTCAGCCGCAGAGCTAAATTACTCATTTGCACAAACACTGAAGGGAAGCAATGCGCTTAAGGCTGATTAAATTAGCAGCACAACAAAGTCCCACTGCTGCAACAAGGCGCTAATATGGAAAGTTTGCTGTCAGAGGAGCAAGGTTACAGTTTTAGACGCTGTAAGGTGCATATTTGTGTGTGTGTGTGTGTGTGTGTGTGTGTGTGTGTGTGTGTGTGTGTGTGTGTGTGTGTGTGTGTGTGTGTGTGTGTGTGTGTGTGTGTGTGTGTGATGTGGTGGGCGGTGGTCTGTACGTTTTGACAAACCATGCTGTTAAAGATATAACAGCAGCATAATCACCGCCCCAGGCCGTCATTCTTCAGGATAATGGCCTTCCTATTCATTGGGGACGCATTACATCTCAGCCCCCACTTTTTTTTCTTTTTTTTTAACATTTTCAAATATTTTAAATCTGAATCCTGTTTCTTTGTGCACATGCCATGTTTAGATGAAAATGTTTCATATCTCTTTCTGCTCTTTCTTACAGAATTTTTCCAGCTGATTAACAGCCTGTGATTCACTTTGTTTGCTTTGACCTGCTGATATATAATTAAAAACATTAAGAAATATTTTCAGGCTTTGCTGCCTTAGATGTTTAATTATTTTTAAAAAGTCAAAATGATCATGAAGCTGACCTGCAAAGCTGAATGTTAAAATTTCTTATTAGCTGTTAGCTTGCTTAGTATGACTGACAAAAAAAAAGGATCTGTCTGTTTTCTATAAAGAACGTAGACGGTTTTCCTCTAAAAGGTAGAAAAAAAACCTGCCAATTTCCAAATCCAGCATGTTCCACCAGCAGACTGAGGCTGAAGCTCAGAAACATAAAACTGGACAACTTTGCTGTTTTCTTCCTGTTACTGAAGTTTTCATTTCTGCTTAAACGTGACAGTAAACAAGATTTAATCTCAGTTCTTCTTAAAATTGAATTTTTAACCTGTGTGTGCTGATTTCATTCATGAGGAACCTCAGTGATGATGAAAATGATTAACCTTGAGTTCTTCCTCCCTCAGTAACAACTTCCCATCTCGCCAACTACTGATCATTATGGAATATCGTCTTCGAGATGTTAGCATGTCATAACAGTCATGAGGCAGTCAGACAGCAACAATCTTCAGTCAGAAGCTTATTCAGATTTGTTGTAAAACTGACTGCTACCACAGGATGGTAGATGGTTTCTGGATGGTTTCTGGCCACTGCATCTCCACACGCAGCCACAAGGACACATGGGATGAAACTTACATTTAATTTCCCTTTGAAAAGAAGTATTTTTCAATTGAAATGAACAATCTCAACATTTTTAATTGAGTGGTTGATCAATATTGAGATATAATATTGATTATAAAGTCACAAAGCAAAACAAACTGATTCAGTTCGAGTACAGCTGTGAGCGCCCCCATGTGGTGTAAATGTTTTGTACAAAACACCGCCACTACAGATCAAGCAAAGCTTTTATTTGCAGTTACTTTACAATGACACTAGTTCAAGTCTACATTATTTGGGGAAGCAATAGAAACATCTATGCAGATATCCTGTCCTTCTTTTCTCCTCCATCAGAAATCGATTCATCACTTAAACCAGCAGGATGGACAGAACGGTGGGAGGACAGCATAAAAACGACAACAGAACCCAGACAGAGTCCATACAGGGTGACACAATGGAGGATGACTTATTTATGCTATGAAATCTTATTCATAATTATGTTTTGGGGTTTTTTTTGCTACTTTTCAGTCCAGACCCATTGCACACGAACATCGTGTTTGTTCATTGTGATTCCCAGAAGTAAAGATGTGTGTAGTGTCTGAATGACTTTCAGCAAATATCACCTTAAAAGCTGGCAGCCGACGTCCACCATCAGTTATACATCATGATAAGGAGCTTTACATTACCTTACAAGTAAACATTAATAGATAGACCTTTTATGTATATCATATTTAAAAAATAATGTGCTTTTTTTTTCTTTCTTTTTTTTTACATTTGAAGAAAAGATCTTGCAGCACACATGAACTGAAAGTGGAAGAAAGCCATGAGAGGCCTGATCAAGTCCTTACAGTCAGAGTGGCTTCAACACAATATGAGGGGGAGGAGAGTTTTTCCTTCTTTCTCTTTACACAGGATATCACTGAAGTCATGGCAAAAATCATGTTGGAGGTTTCCAGAGTGTGAGCTGCTTAGAATGGTATGCATGCTTATAATTGCATTTGCCCCAGCTCCCTCAGCCCTGGGCCAAGTGTAATTAAAAGCTCTTAAAATTTAGTCACTGAAATAATTTTCTCATTATCAGGCCAGCGTCTGCAGAGAGCAGCACATCGCCGCACATTTAACTGGCAGATGAGTCGCTCTGAGCAGTGCTGCGGGTTTAGATGCCATCACCGTGTTGAGCCATACAGGACTTGTGCACAGCCACTTTGCAGATCATTTTTGTCACTATTGATTTACCGTATCTTCCAAAGTGCTTTTACTTATTCACAGTATTCTTCTAGACAATGTCACAGAAACAGAGCGCATTCCCCATCAGTTGTTTACGTCCTTTTCAGAATTGTTCAGAATATTTACATTTCACATCATAAGTCAGTGTGAAATGTGTTTCTAGTCACGTGGACTGTTGCCCCTTAGTGCAGCATGTTCAATATTATACAAGTTGTGTTATTGTTGGTATTTTTACAGATAATTTACTTTTGGATGGCAGGTTGCAGCAGAAGGTGTGAAGACATGAACATCTCTCCAAAGGGGACAGTTTGGGATTTTGAAGTGAGGGTAAGAAGCAGTTAATATCTTTCCTGTAGTTTACTGAGTTTAAATTCCATAAATAAATGACATTTGATGTTAATTTGTGCAACATAGATCATCTAAATTTAGCAAACATCCAGATTAGTTGGTACTGGAGGCTGAAGCTAACGGCTAGCCTGTCAGGAGGCGCGGTGAAAGCAGAGCTCAGCAGCCTAAAGACAACCCTGATCACAATCTTTTGTCTTTTGTTGGAAAAGCTAAATATGTTGCAAATTGGAGACAGTGACATTTAATGGGATTTATGTGTTTCATGAAATCTGAAATATTTTGCAATGAAAATATCTAGATCAAAAGCTCCGCTTTATCAAAATATTTAAGCTTCTCGTTAAAATGAGAAACTTTCTCATTACAGTTAGTTGCAAAAGATTTTTGTTATAACATAATATCTTGCTAAAACAAAAATGTTATAAAAATGAGCTCCTCTGACAGTTCACAGCTTGTTAGAAGTCATAAAGGGACTCACTATGACTCTCCGTCTTCTCACCGTTTCTTCTTAAAACATCTTAAAATCCCGAGGTGTTGCTGTTCTACTAATACAACATTACTAAAGCCATATTTTGGTTATAATAAGATGCAAGTCTTATTATAATGAACGTTTTAAATCTTATTTAAATGTTAATTTAATTTAAGTTCACTAAAGCTGAAGAAAAGGAAAAAAAACACCTATACAGTTATTGTTCTATTTTATTTAATTGTTTAATTACTTTAAAAGAATCATTTAAAATGCAACTATTTAATGAAACATAACACAGTTTCTCAGATAATAAGAAATAATCTCTTTAACCTTTAAGCCGTAATCTTGTCTGCTTTGTGCTGTTGTTTACATTAAAGCTGATCATGATTACGCTGGAGGACGAGGCTGGAGGCGGTGCGCTGCCAATAATGACCCCCTGAGACACATGCTAAACATGTAAAGCATTTCCTGCTCAGAGTGGCCATCTAAAATGAACGAAAAACAACTTCAAAAGCAAAAATTAAGGAAAATCTATTTAATGGATTTTGCAAGTTCTGTCTTACCTTCCTGTTGGGTGGCTATTCTGCTTTACATCTTCTGTTCTCACTATGAGTTTCACACACATGAGAAACTTCCTCCCTCCACTTTCCATGTAAATAATTAATTCATCATTAATTGATTATTTCCATGGGATCATTATTCTGTATGAATAACAGCTTAAAACACATGAGAATTGTTTGAAGGTTCAAACGTGTGTTTTCATAAAGGACTGGGCTCTGCTTGAATAACTGTTGGCTTCAGATAATCTGGATTTGTACAACAGAGAGCAGAGCTGCAGGGAAAAGCCTCTTTCTGACTGGTATTGATTTCTGGTTTTCTTTTAAGTCTGACATGCAAGTGCTGATTTCAACTGATTCCAACTTTTTCTCCTAAAAACTACTTTTACCTTGAAACTCAGATGAATTTAAGACAAAACACAGGTTAAATGTACATGTTGTGCATTCAAGCAGTTTAAGGCCAAAACAATTCTTAGTTTTCATATTTTTATATATATCAAACACTGATCAGAGCTAGTCAAGAGAAACTTAGCCAATTCCCAACTCTGACCGACTGATTGGTGCATGTCTTCTAAAGAGTTATCCTCTGCTAGAAGGATATTAACTGCTTATGTCATTTTAACAAAAGCTCAGTTCTAAAAATCCCAAATGACCCGTTTTAGGTTTGATCTTCCTCGGTCTGAACCCTCCTGGCAGGCTTACTGGAGCTCTGCATGGGTGCTAGAAATCTATAACGGTCACACAGACATACAATGGGATGTGTAGTTGTGGTGCAGGTGGAGCTTCTCGCCTGATACACACCGCCCTCCAAAGCGTCAGTTGGACAGCGTGTCCAGTCCCAGCGAGGCGGCGTGCTGCTTGGCCCTCAGACGCAGGTTCTCGATGCTGGTGGTTTTGCTGTTGTGGCTGCTGAGTCCTCCTGCAGCTGAGGCCTGCAGCAGGGGGCTGCTCCACACCTGCTGGGCGTGATGGGACAGAGACTGGTAGTAGGACTGGCAGGGCAGGGAGCCCAGGGGCGCAGGGGGCATGTTCACGTTCACTCCCAGGTAAGGGAGTGAGGACGGGGCGGTGAGGTCAAAAGCTGCCGGGTAGGGCACCAGGTTGTTGGTGGCGGCCATGTGCTGACGAAACTGCTCCTGGAGGCGAAACAGGCTGAGGGGGGAGGACGAGTAAGAGTGGCTCTGAGAGAGAGGAGCTGCGGCAGCCAGGCCGCCGGAGGACGAGGAGGGCGTTATGGACGGAGAGACCAGAGGGGAATCTGCACAGAGAAACCAGTTCTGATCAGTTTGACAGTCACTTCCTGCTACTAAACGTAGAACTGCAAATTGAAATTACAAAAATAAATGTGCTTAATGGAAACACATTTATTTGTTGGAAAACCCACATTTTTTGATAAACAGATTGTGTGCTATGATGATGAGGTTTTTCAGCAATATCAAAATACATGTAATTTGAAAAACTGCAATGGAAACATGTTTTGCATCACACAAGTCACATAATAAACAGCTGGATGTTACTACTAGCGAAAACGACAAAGAAGATGACAGAATATTGTAGGGGGATGAATGTTAATGATTTATTACAGTAAAAAACATATTCACGAGTGATTTTTATTGTTTTTTTAATTCACTTTCAGCTCCATGCAGTTGTAAAATTCTGTTTTCTCGACATTTGTGGAATATCATCAAAGTTTTTCTCACATTTATAACGTAAACACAGCTACTGATTAACCTAATTAAAGAGAGCTCTAACAGCGTCATGCGGCTCATAAAAAGTTTTCTCATTAGAACCACTTGATTCCACTGCTTCTCTGTAAAATCACTGACTACAATTACCCCAAAACGTAGCTGCTCTCGGCAATGTTGCTCCGTCTCATGAATAAGACGACAATGTCTGATGACTGAATTATAAATACATCTAATGTAACTGTTGACATCTGTCACTGCCATGATTTTTATTGACTTATTGCATGAACAAGCTTTTTTCATTTCTTTTTTTTATTATTGGAAACACCTCAATTACGAAATTGTGTTTTTACGACATTAGGAGAATCTTGAGAAAGATTTGCACACCTTTGTAACGGAAACGTAACTAACATGGTTTCTGTCTGTAAAACTTACCCGGCTTGGGGCTGAGCCTTTTGCAACCTGCGGAGGGATCACCCGGGGTCTCGCACTTCATCTCCTCTCTGACAGATTTAGTCTCGTCCTCCTTATCGGTGGCGTTGTCCTCTGTTGCCGAGTCGCTGCCCGAATGCTCTGCTGAGGTCACGTTCAGCTCCATGTCAAGAGGAACGTGGCGGACCAGAGGAAGGTCTGTTTCCAGAGAGGAGGAGGAGGGAGAGGAAGATGATGGAGGGAGCGGAGTGTCAGGAAGGATGGTGGCAGAAGGAGGAGCTTCCTCCTTCTCGCTTCCTCCTTCCCCGGACACGTCCTTCTGCTTCTGAAGCTGCTCCTTCTGCAGGCTGCGCTGCTTCTTCCGGAACTTTGCTCTGCGGTTTTTGAACCAAACCTGAAAGTTAGGACAGGAGAAAATTTGACACAAGAACAACCCAGAGGATCCTCTTCATGAGACCAGCTTAGAAAGACAGTGTGTTCAGTCAGAGGCTTCTTCAAATTCACTGGAACTGCTACAGGAAATCTTTCCTGCCCACTGCCAACACTATTTACAGTAACTCTGATGAATATTGAACTAATATGATTTACAACAACTTTCAATTTCCCGTTGGGATCAATAAGCATTTCTGAATTGAATTTGAATCATGTGAAATGACAATTTCATAGATCTTAACAGAGATTTTTGTATTTGACAAACATTTTTCAGCATATGTGAAATTTATGATGAATATATTTTTATCTTTTAATTTTCAACGATTTTTTTCCATCCTGAACAGATTTTATTTAGTTTTCTCTCACAAGAATCCATCTTTGAGACAGTTCAATTGGAGCCAGTATTCACCTAAAAATTCTTAATTAAAAAAATCCATCACAAAAACAAGATCAGTAAGATCCTTTAAATTCTTAAATATTCTCTATAAAATTTATAGAAAATAAGCCTGGGGGGTCCGCGCTTTTTGTCTGCTGCACCAAAATTGTCAAGTGAAAAAAACTTATATTTTTAATAAAAACTTGTACTGTATAGTACGTTCCAACTTGATAATATACTAAATGAGCAGATTTGTTTGTTTGGAAAGAGATGTGTGTTTACACTTCTCTGAACCAACTATTGTAGAGACAAAATTTAAGGGTTTTGCAGATTTTCCACATTAAGGGAAAGATTTGTCAGGTCCTGAGAAAATAGTAAAAATTTTGTCAGTTCGGATTAGAACTGGATAGATTTTACCCTTGCAAAAAGCCTGCAAAAAGTGTGTTTATGTAAAATAGAATACTTTGTATTTTAATAAGATCTCATATTTATCTGCAATCTCTCTGAAGACAGAAACTTTTAAAAATAAAAGTTTCTATCTTCATCAATTATCTGTGCTGAATATAGTATACACTACATTCCTGAGGTCATTTTTGCCTACCTGCACCCGGGCCTCTGGCAGGTTGGTGCACATGGCAAGGCGCTCCCTCATCACCACGTCCGGGTAGTGGGTCTTCTGGAACGTCTTCTCCAGAGCCTCCAGCTGCTGAGCGGTGAAAGCTGTGCGGCTCCGGCGCTGTTTGCGGTGCTGTGAGCCGTAGCGAGCCTCCAAGATGATGTCTTGAAACGTGCAGCCGTTGGAAGAAAAAACAAATAAGGGGGCAAGTTTTATTTCACTGTGCACAGATGACAGATGGTGCAGTTTGATGGGGAGAGTTTGGTGCAAAGTACCACAGGAACTAATAACATTAATTATGAATGTGTTTTTTCTCATAGAATGAATTACATTTTTAAATCATGAATTTCACACTGAGTTAGAGGTATGTGATAATGCATATGTTGGTATTGATCTGATACCGAATAAATATTACTGATAAGCATTGACTTTTTAAATGTAAGTTTGACATGAAACTTCTGACCTTTCATTTTCTTTTCTTTTTTTGTTGTTGTTGTTGTTGAATTAGTCTGTTAAAATTTGGGACATAATTTGAAGAAAGTTTATAGCTATTTATAAAATACTTACGTATATAACATGATAAAGATAAACCATATCAAAATCAAACAAATCTGTACTGATTTTTTTCTAAGCAAAGTGCACAATAATTATAATTTTAATGAAACAAAACAAAAACTTTTTTGTAGACTGGAGAAACTATGATATAAAAATAAAAAATAAAAAAACACCAGGAGAAAATCTGAAACTAAAATATCAATCTTAACAATCCAATACTGATACCAATATTTTGCATCAATATGTCAACCTCTGTATGTAATACTTTAATTACATATCTATTCAATAAAGTAAGTTTGCATCTATGTCTTCTTCTATAGTATACACAATTTAAATTTTATCTGCATCAAGATGATTAATTACTTACTATTTATTTATTTTGGCCCTTTTGTCTCTCCATATAGACCACATTTAAAACAACTATATTTAAACACTGACTGTCACACACTCTTTGTGCGAGGTAACCGCGCGCGCGTGTGTGTGTGTGTGTGTGTGTGTGTGTGTGTGTGTGTGTGTGTGTGTGTGTGTGTGTGTGTGTGTGTGTGTGTGTGTGTGTGTGTGTGAGGTGGGCACGTGCTCAATTACCAGCTAGTCTTTCGGCCAGTGTGAGCGCGTGCACGGAGGGCCGGTAGTCGGGCGCGTGCTGCGCCTGTTGAGCGGCCTGCTGGTGCAGGTTGTACATGGCGCTCAGGGAGTTCATGGCGTGCAGAGAGTAGCCGTTCACCCCGTAGTGCTGCATGATGAGAGGTCGGCACCTGCGGAGCGCAGCAGAGAGAGAAGAGAGAGCGGCTGTGAGTTTTCCTGATGAGACGCTGCGCTTTGGACGCGCTGCGGTTGTTCCACGGAGGAGGGGATCACGGGCTTTAACTGCGCCAGCTTTTTATTATAGCTGAATGACGGCAGGGGCTCCGGGGGCCAACACATTTTATCGGGCGCACTCAGGCTAAAATGTTATCCATTAACATCCAATTATCGCTCTGTTCAATTCATTAATTATACAAAAGACTTTTAATTGGGGTAATTATAGCTCGTTCCAGTAATGAACCGTGACGGATGCTTTATTCATGAACGTATTCAGCCGTTCTCCGAGAGGCCTAAATCTTCACTGACAGCGGTACACTGACAGATCACGGCAGTGATGAAATGTGTTGGGAATATAGAAGGTAACCGGTTCCGCCTGCAGAACCCGCTAACCGAACCACTTCATATCAGACTGAGATCAGATGTCAGATTTCTAAAATCTAAATGAAAATAACTCGATTTATTGGCCAATGTTATTCTTGAAATAAAATATTAATGAAAAGGCCACATAAAGAATGTATTAATATTTCCCGGTGTATGACAATTTTATTTATTTATTAACTTTTTTATTTATTTATTTATTTTTGAAAGTTCAATCCAGCGCTTTGTTTGTTGTTGAAGCTTTAACTTTATTCACAGCTACAAGTCGTTAAGGTGCAAATCAAAAACATATAATCAGGTATTTTTATCAAAATGAGCCATTTCAAGTGAATTTTATTTTTTACTTGACATGCCACAAAATATAATGACAATATCTAAAATATTCACTGATTCGTTGGTGAATTCAAACTAAACATGGTGTCGAGAAAAGTCTTCTGTGACACGTTTGTTTAGATTTATCAGTTTGCAGTAAATTCCAGCAAATGTCTTACAGAAAAAATTTCATCTGTTCTCAACACACTTAGTGGTTTATTGTAACTGAGCTGAACATTAAATAAATGTTTTCTTTATCGGGACTGGAATGGATTTTTTTTTTTTTTTTGCAGAGTGAAAAAAAAGAAATAAACGAATTAATAATAATAATAATAATAATAATAATAATAATAATAATAATAATAATAATAATAATAATAATAATAATAATGATAATAATAATAATAATTCAGTTAAGTTAGATCTAAAATGTAATATTGAACATTAGTTTTCCAGGAGTTTCTTGAGTAGTAACTCTGTACACGTGCGCGCGCCCGTGTGCGTGTGCACGTGTTGCCTGCAGTGCCCATTCCCAGCCTATTAAGTGGCTGCGGCGGCTGATGAATGTGATCAGAGGGCAGTGGGGAATAGTTTAATTCGCCGGGACAGAAGGTGCTTCGCTAAACATTTACTTTGCTCCCTGAAGTATTCCAGTTGAATGCCCGCACCCCTCCTTGCCTCTGCCGCCCCCTCCCGCCGCTCTCTGGCGGCCTCTTATCCCACCGCCCTGGGGCAACGTTTTGGCTGAGATGTATGGCTTCAACGCGGGTAAAAAAAAAAAAAAAAAAAAAAAGCAAAAGAAAAAAAAATATGCATGTTGATCCCCATTTGCCTCCCCGTCTAATGGAAGTGCAAATAGGTTTCGACTGCTGGGCCCTCCATTTATCATCAACGCTGACGCGGGCGGACGCGCGGCCGGGCCGACAGCGACTGACCGGCCGCGCGCTGCGCTCTCGAGCGCGCGTGCGTTCCTCGTGCAGGGTGGCGGGCAACGCGCTTCCTGTCGGTTCGTTTTATCTTCTCATCTATTCAAACGCGCTTCTTGAAACCGAGCAATTAGAAATGCGAAAAGATCCTGTTTTCACCGCTCAAAGTTCACGGAAGAAAAACGTAATTCCGCTAAAATGATGACTTGAACTGTGTGTGGGGCCTTTAAACTGTCCCGTAGTGACTGGCAGCTTCGCTCGTCCAAAACTGATTGTGCACAGTAGCTGTCAGGCTCGTTATTGTCATTCATAACCCGCTCCGAGCTGCAGGCGCTGACTCGGGGCCCGCTCCCGGCCGGCAGGCTTCCTCAACGCTTCCATTATCAAACCGTAATTATGGAAATTTGCCTCGTAGTGAAGCTCTTTGATCCCACCAAATTAGGAAAAATGTTATTTGCTATATCCTCCCTCGGGGGCACGAGGCGACCCGACGATCTGTGTTTTTTTTTTTCTTCTTCTTCTTCTTTTCACTACGTCATGCAGCGTAAACTGGGATTCCACTTGAATCTGAACAGTGCAGCTGGAAGGGTTACGAGCATTGATATGATGCTTTCTACGCAGAGCCAACATTTCTGTTTGAAATTGTTGTGAAGTCAAACTGCAGTAGGAGAGCGATTCTTTAGCTTGGAGAGAGCTGAATAGATGTGGCCTGATCAACTTTCCACACTGGCCGGTAATCAGGACGCTGCGGAGCTGAAATATTCGACGCATGCCTGCAGAAATGTTGCACTGACTTAATCTTACTCTGGGAAATATGCTCATGTTTATTAGTTGACATTTTGAACTACTGACACCGCAGGTTCTGCTGTTGCTGTCCAGGACTGGGATTGGCTCAGTTTTAATTTGTTCCTCCAAAATCAAAATGAAGACTAAATGTTCTTTATTAAAATCTGTCTTTTGACAGCTCTCCCTTTGAGCTGTAACTTAAGTGAGAGCATAAAAAAATAAAAAGGTTGAGTTTATTTATGAAACGCCAATTCAACAATATATGTGACTTAAAGGGAAATTTCAAGACAAAAAGGCTCAATTCATATAAAATTATATCGAATCAGTCAAACAAATATATTCATATCACAATGTTGCAGGTTCCGTTATACGCAGCACAATCCGACCATAATTATTATGAATAAATCACAGATTTAGTTAGTTAGTTAGTTAGTTAGTTAGTTAGTTAGTTAGTTAGTTAGTTAGTTAGTTAGTTAGTTAGTTAGTTAGTTAGTTAGTGAAAAGTTTTCTAAGGTCTCTGTATCTGTAGCATAATATTACTGTCAGTTTTTGTTTTTTTTAATCCATGCAATAACTTTCTTTTGTTTTTGTTTTTTTGTTTGTTTTTTTATGAAAATGTCTCAATGGATATTATCTTTTATTATTTATTTTTTAAATTGTCACAGTTAGGACAAGCCAAACAAAGTGTCAGGGTAAAAGTGTCACTTCTTCAGGCTACATGGACAACTTGAAGAATCTGAGGCTGCTGAGAAAAATGTCGGATAATAGTCGGTGACGGACATGATAAATAAGTAAATAGGGTAAATTAATAAAACTTTAGCTACCTTTAATTCAAACGGCTCCTTCCTTTCTTCTCCTCGGACAGAGTTACTCCAGCCTCCAGAACTCGCTGTTTCTCCGGGTTCCGTTGTTTTTCTTATTTACCGCCTGTATCGTGTTCGGTTCCTAACCGGGTCAAACTCCGTTCGGCTGCTTCACCTCAAGTCCAACTCGCTCGCGCGCTCCGCGGTGCCGCTGTGATCTCTGCTTGCTGTGGGAAACCGCCATCTGCTGGCGCTCGAGACTTCCCTGCGGAGGCATTTTAAGGGGAGCCACGCGGGGGTCGTCCGGGCTTTTGATTGGCTCCGCGTTCTGTCAGTTGCGTGAAGCTGACGTCCCTGAGTTATTTCCAAACGTGATGAGTTTTGGCATATTATCTTGACTGAGATCCTCCTCCTCCTTTAACTCTTATGTCATATATATATATATTTTTTTCTAAGTTGATCAACTATTCTGAAAATGTTGTAGACTATCTTCATTTATTTGGCCACTAAAACTGATTATTTATTGAAGCGAAAATGTAATTAATTGGTGAATGAGTAAAAAATAAATAAATAAGATTGTCAAGTTTACCCCGATAAGCTATTCCCATGAACATGAAGAGTCCTCCCGCTACTTCGGAGGAGCAAAACAAGCTCCTCATAGTCTGTTTGCTTTTCGGCTTTCCCTGCATGCCTCTGGAGGACAGAGACAGAGAGATGGCCCTCAGATGCCAGGGCGCTGCCTTTACACTCTTTGCCGGGACTGGAAGGATTTTGGGATGGGATAGGAAAGACAAGACGCCATCTCAGCCTCCCAAAAAAAAAAAAAAAAAAAGGGAAAAGAAAAAGCCTGTCTTGAAATGACTGCGGGTAAGAGGATTAAGGCAATAATGCCCTTCTCTTCTTGAAGGGTTTTTTAGAGAGGATTTCTTCTCCCGGAGCAAAACCGTTTAGGTAGGGAATTAAGGGCAGCGCAGTAGCCTTTCAATGTAAAGCTTGCGTATTTTGTTAAAAGCTTCCCTGAGAACGTGCATGGCCCTATAGCTACTTTCATTTTTTTTTTTTTAGCAGCAGCAGATGAAATGTTTAATTGAAATGATGTTAATATTTAAGCAAATATGTCCATGTGATTAGTATTTTCTTGTGTTACAATAAAACGGGGCTGAAATAGGGAATACATTCATTTTTAAAACATTGAGCAAAACCTCATCTGGTTCGTGAGTTTAACAAGCTTTATTGATATTCTCTCATTTTTCAGTTTATCACGTTGAAATTTATATATATATATATATATATATATATATATATATATATATATATATATTATATATATATATATATATATATATATATATATATATATATATATAAACAAATATTGTTTCACCTGAACATTTAAATTGGGAGAATTTGAAACTTAATTGGTTTAAAATGTCTGGAATAAAATGGAGTGAAATCTGAAACAATTCATCGTCGTGTTTGTAAATGATGCAAAAATCCTCCACCGAGGTTTCATCTGAAATTATTTACAATTCGGTCCATGTGTACTTCAAAGTCTTGCGGGTGAAGAAAGAAAAAAAAATAGAAAAAAAAAAACCTCGTGCGCCTCTCTGGTTCTGTCGCTTCGGTATTGGGCTCCTATCACTCGGGTTTTCTCCGAGCTCCCAGAGAGAAAGAGGATTAACTTGTGAACCAATGGAAATAAGAACTTAAACGGGAGGTAAATCTGGCCACTGTCTCTTTGTGAGCACCGTCTCTAAAGCAATTAAAGCGAGAAAGAGTTTCTTCTCAGCGCCTCTCCACCTAAAGCTACTTAGAGCGACCAGAGCTGTCCAGCGCATCTGATGGGCTTATGGGACGCCATCGCCCCCACCAGCCCCACCAGCCCCTCCAGCCCCACCGACCCCCTAACGCAACGTGGACACACAACACTTTTATAAAAACAACAAACAGTCAAGCCCAGAAATTGAACAGTGAAGGCCTCACAGACAGACTGGAATCATAAAAACAAGCAGTATATATATTTACATTTGTGCTTATTTGCGAGTGCCAATATGTAATAAGCCCACTTGTTTAGAATTTTTTTTTACCATTGCATTCTGCACCTCCAATACCTAATTAATGCTGCTAATGACGCTCTCTGCTACTTCATTAATATATGAGGCGGCAGGCCGCAGCCTCCCCTGCACCATTCAAGGGTATTCCGGCATCTGTTCATCCCACAGCAATTAATCATTTTGATTTGTGCTTTAAAATGGACTTCTTGCAGGGAGGACCTTTTTGACAAGAATAACAAAGCAATTTTGCCAGCAGGCACCTCTCAGACACCTTATTAGCAGCACACCTCCACAGTCAGACCTGCTCTCCTTGTTCCTTTTCCCCCCTCAAATCCAGCCTATTATAGAAATGAATTTTTAAGACACAGCAGCAATGTTATGGTTTTATTGTCAGCAGCGTGCCTCTGAGTCCTCCTGAAATCCCTTTTTATTGGTGACAAGATCTCGGAATCTCGTCAGCAAATCCCTCCTCTAAAAGTTTTCAACCTGTCAGTTTCCTGGAAAAGCTGGATAATTCTCCCCTCTCTTCCCCCGTCTCCCTTCATCCCCTTCTCTCTTTCTCTCTGCCCTCTTTTCTCCCTTGTCTCAATCCCTCTGTCTCGTTTCTTTTTCCTTGCCTTCCCTGCTCTGGGTCTTTTTCTCTCTCTGGCCCGGATCCCTCTGCACAAGGGCCCCCATTGTATAGTCTTAATCCAGAGGCAACACAGCTTTAGGGACATGCAGGGATAAAAGGCCCATCAAGCCCACAACTTTATGGGGGCAAATCTCTCCCTAATCCTTCTCTTTATCTAAACAAAAGCCCCTCTGCCCTAATCCACCTATATGCGTTTGAAAAAAAGAGAGGAAAAAGCAACGAGAGTGGCACAGAAAGGAGAGGAGGAGAGAGAGAAAACAAGAGATTGTCAGAAGGGGAAAAAAAATCTCACACTCTCTGATCAAACCAGGAGAGATCATCATGGGAAGGTCAGGATGTTTTTTGGAAGAGGGAAGCTCCGCTGACAAGGCTCTCACCTGCAGATGTTTGAAGTGTGCTGACCTCTGGCTTGAAGGCAGATTTGAATCGAACCCTCTATTCATGAACACATTGGCAGCCGTTGCAATAACAGCGTCCTGCAGGACGCCTGATTCTGAGATTAAAACAGAGTTTCAAATTATTGAAAATGGCTAATTCAGTCCAAGTTTGACCCATCTAGATTTGCTGTCTCATGAGAAGAAAAAGAAAAAAACATGTCATTTATGAACACAGTTAAGCATACGTATTGAAACTAAGAAACAAACAAATAAGAATAGGAGACTGAACATTAAGGGCAAATTTATGTAAATACTTGTTAAAGATGACTCTTTCACCAAATGAAAAGTGCAGAAAATGTCATTTTTCCTGTGGTCACAGTTCAAATAAATGTTTGATTAATATGAAACATTATTCTTAACAATCTCTTTACAGTGTGGACAATATTTTTACACAGACAGGACAGATTTTTGATCAGATAATGTTTAGATTGAGGTTGCATTTTATGTCAGCGATCACACTGTTTTCATTGCCTCTACATGCGGATAACAAACTTATTCCCACGTTGTGGGATCCAACCCTGGTCATCTGCATGGAACATAAATATCCTCCGTATTTGTGGTGCCTGTTCTCCTACTGACAGAAACATTTTTATCCCCAGACAGAATGACTTCCTGTGCAAAATCCGCCATCCCCAAATCAAAAAAGCCCCTCTGCCAAAATGCATATTTAAACCACACGCTAATATAGTGAAAATATTATTTGAAATGTTTAAATGGATAATGGCAGGTGTATTTGTTTTAACGTGGTGCTGAAAAAGCTTTTATTTATGCAGAAAAATGAATCAAAACTTCCCTGAGAATTTGCCCAGGTGCAGAATTGTGAAAAACAAAATAATTAAGACACTTCAAATTTCTCCTCTATAAATGTGTTCAACTATACAAATAAAAAATACCTTAAATAAGAATAGTTTTAAACTCTGTTGACTAAGAAAATGTAACCAAACTCACTGATCTCTGATGTGTTGCAGAGAAGAGTGAGACGGGTTAATGCTTTTATATTTAAATAAAGACCAGAAAGGGTTTTCTTTTAGGCATACACACAATAAATAAATGTCTTTTGTTTGCTGTTAATAAATAGCAAAAAGAAAATTGGAGCAAAGTTTGATTTCTAATTGTTCTGTTTCAATTAGACACTGGGCAGTTTTTCAAGTATTCGTAGCACATTCAATAAATTAGAATATGTAATCTGATGAGGCTTGTTTGTCAGATTAAAAGTGCCTTTTGAAAATAATGGGGTTAGGGTTACAAATGCAAATATTATTTAATATTTTAATAATTATTATTAATAATATTTGATAATCCCACATTTTTGTATTAAACATGTTTTTTTTTATTGGTCTGATGTAACATTTTAAAGATTTTGTCTTCACATTGTCAGCAGGACAATCTAAAGCAGATTTCAGCAACAAGGCAGATCAAAGTTCCTTTTACCATAAAACATAACATAGTCACCAATTATGAAACAAGCAATGAACATTACATTTTTGTCTAAAACCTATTCTCCTAGTGGAAGGACTTTAGAACCAGTTCCTGGTTTTAGTCAGAACACCAGCAGACCAGCAGCAGCGTTCTGGTTCAGCTGCAGATGGAGGATTGATTGATGAGGCAGATCTGTGAAGACAGACCAAAGAGAAATGCCTGGACGGGTTTCTCCAGGTCTTGCTCCCACATTCGTTTTTTAAGCTTGTAAATGTTCTTCAGGTGATAGAAGGCTGATTTTGTAACTGTGACTCTGATCATCCTGTCCTCTACATAAACATCACATCCATCTACAGTCTGGGTTCCCAAACATTTCAGCCTCCGATCCCCAAAATAACAGCAGACTGGTGACCCCCTAGAAATACATATAATAACTTCCCTCTGATTATTTAAAAATGAATACATAGGGTTAAATGATATGTAGTTCTAAATTCATTTATTTTTAAAAATTACTTATATTATATTACTCTCTATTTTATAATGATACATTTAATCTTTTTATTTTTTATTTCATGACATTTATGTATTTGTTTGTCTAACCCTACATACACAGGAATTGCACGATTCTGAAAATAATTTAGCTTTGGAAACCCTTGATCTACAGTAATGGCATTGAGTGAACGTCT